TAGAGTTGAACAGCACAACCAGGTGTTTCAAGCTCTCATCTGGATCCCCAAGAGAATCCAGCTGTTTTGCAATTCAGTTAAACTGGATAAAGGGGGGACTCTCCTTCTCAAAAATAAGGTGACTTATGTTAGCATGACTAGCTTGATTAAAATCATGCAACTTAAGATTTGCTTAATTGTATATATGTAACACCACCAAAGAAAAGCCTCACACTGGTCAATACAACTACCAAAGCTCTGCAGCCCACATGGACACTGTGCTACAGATCAGTGATGGAATACAGTCATCACTGAGGTGAGGAAGCAGAGACGAGGTGACTGGAGAGAGTGCCCCAAATGCACAAAGTGCAGTCAGTCTACACACTTCCATACCAGGTGAAGATCTCAGCAAAGGTACTCTTGTCTCTTCTACTACTGAAGAAAAAAGGGTGGGGGGAGTAGGACATGAAAGGAAGATTTTCCGTGCAAGCAAACCACTGCTCAATTCAGGACAAAGCCCAGTTGGTCAAACGTTATGGTTTAGAATAGAGTTACAGCACCTCCGACTGCTGTCTCCTATTGGAAAGACTCCTGTATTGCTCATAAACTTTACAACGAGTTTTGGTAAGTTAAAACTACAGAGCAGGTGCAGGTGCAGTGGCTCACACCTGTTAACCTAGCCCTTTGGGATGCCAAAGTGGGAGAACCATTTGAGGCCAAGAGTTCAAGACCAGCCTGGGCAACACAACAAGACTCCAACTGTAAAAAGACTTAAAAAAAATTTAACCAGGCATGGTGTAGTCCCAGCAACTCAGGAGGCTGACAATCACTTGAGCCCAGGAGTTTGAGGTTGCAGTGAGCTGACTGCACCACTGCGCTCCAGCCCCGTGACAGAGACTCTATCTTGGGAGCAGGGGTGACCCAACAGTAACAACAAAAACTGCCTTAAAGAAGTAATCTTCTGTCTGTATCTAAACTCTTTAGTCACCCAAGCTTAATCAAGTACCCAAGTTTAGTACTTGCTGTGGTTGTAATACATGCAGAAAATTCTTTCCTTGAGGTGCTTTTCCATCTAATCGGCTGACAGAATGCTTTCCATCAATTCTCAATCCTTCTAATCTTGCTTCCCTCTGACAGAGCCCCCATTTAACTCTCCAACACTTTCTCTTTTTCTCACCACACCATGTTGAGCTTCATCGAAGGCCACTCACCAGCCAGCGATTTCTTCTTCACTGACTCTAGTGATGGCATGTATTCCCATGAACCAGCCCAGCAGTGTTTCAAGTTTCTTCTAAGTGAAAGGACATACACTCTCCCCCCACCAATCTCCTACCCTATCTCCCCTCCTCCAAATAAAATTCTTCAAATGCAGAATTAGTGTCCATCTAACCTCGCTGCCTCCTTTCCCTGGAAATGTCCTGCAGGGGCACCATGCTTCACAAAAACAGTAAATTTGAAAGTCCCCAGTTCTGGCGTCATTCAGTGCCACGTTTCCAGCTTCCCTCCACCTTGGTTCCCCCTTCTTCTGTATCTTCCACAATTCTCATGTTCATTCAAGTTTTAAATCTTTGGACCTTTCCTTTCCCTGACATGAAATTCGTCCACTCTCTGCAGTTTTTCACATTCAGAAGCTTTTTCTTCTCTATTCCATTCCCAAAAAGCTTTAATTAGTTCAAATGTTTATTATCAGTGTACTAGTGTACACTGTAAAATAATTTACTGTATCTATTTGTACCCTTCCAGTTTGGTCCTGCTCACCACCAACTGTTACATGCACTACAAGCCCTGCTCTAGTGTGGCAACTATGAAAGACCTCTGCTACTTCGTAACACTGACAGAAGTTCAATACGTATGAATGGGTTACTACTCAAGATAGTAACCTCTGAACTGCCAGGAACCTATTTTTCCAGCCATACTTTGTAAAATTACACAATTGCTCTGAAGACTCCACTCACAACTGTCCACCCTTCTCCCTAAGGGCATTCCGATTCCAAGCCACACAAAAGCCAAATGCAATGGAGTATCCTGACCCAAAGGAGCTCTGCAAACAAAGCCTCTCCTATAGTTTTTATAAAGATTCACTGGAACGCAGCTGCACTCGCTCCTTTACAGACTGTCCATAGCTGCATTTACGCTAAAATGGCAGAGTTGAATCACTGTAACTAAGCCCCTACAGCCTAAATATTTATAATCTTGCCCCTTACAGCAAAAGTTTGCTGATCCCTGGATCTAGAGATTTAATAGAAATACAGAGAGAGATTTAATAGGAATAGGTTCCGTTTCAGAACCAACAGTGAGAATGTGGCAAGGGTAGAAAGGAGGAGACTATTTAAGAGGCTAATGCAGTAGTTTCTGCATTCACAGCAGGGTGGAAGCAAGTGAATAATGAAGGTAGAGCCATCAGAACCAGCTGACAGATTTGATACAGTTTGTGAAAGAAAAGAACAGCACCAAGAATAATATTTAGTTTCGTGCCTAAGCAACCAGAAAGATGTAGTTGCTACTTTCAAGTAAGACAAGGTAGACCAGGTTTTTGAAAGAAGATCAGATACATGACTCAAAAGCATAATTCGCATCAGAAGTTCTCCTGTACAGAAGCCTTCAATGACTCTCCATTTCAATCAGAGAAGCCCAAACCCTAACAACAGCCTACAAGTGCCACACAATCAATCAGGCCTTCCTTCTACCTTTCTGACCTCATCCAACTCCCAACATTCACTCCACTCCACTCCACCCTCAACTGGCCTTCTTGCTCCTCCCAAGCACACTGATCCAGCTCCCACTGCAGTTCTCCACATTTGATGTTCCCTCTGTGTGGGATGCTTTTCTCCCAAGATACTAACAGAGCTCCTTCTCTCACCATTGCTCAGGTATAACCACTCTAGGGCTCCATATCTAAATTCCAACAGTCCCCCGCCCATCCCTCATCCATGCATTCCTTCCCATTTTTCCTCAATTTATCACCAATATATTTGTTACCTTCTAATATAACTTCCTCATTTACTTCAGCCTGACACCATCCTAAAATGGTGTCTAAGAGGTCAAGAATTGTGTTTCTGCCCCCACCACAGTAACCGCAATACTTAAACATAGCAGATGATCAATTAACATTTGCTAAATGATTAAACTGGCTCAAAGAATAAATGCAATTTCTTGAAGATTCAGGAGAATTCTACTCATGTTCCTGGATTTGGGGGGGGGGGCAGCACCTTATAAGACACCTACACAATGCAGCTCAACAAAAACAATGATTTGACCATCAGTCCTCTTTCTACCTAGAGCAGCAACACATTTCCTCCCTCTCCTGCCTCCATATTTAAAATGTTTAGAACCAGTTCACTGACAACACTCTTTTTTTTTTTTTTTTTTTTTTTTTTTTTGAGACAGAGCCTCAAGCTGTCCCCCTGGGTAGAGTGCCGTGGCATTACAGCTCACAGCAACCTCCAACTCCTGGGCTCAAGCGAGTCTCCTGCCTCCGCCTCCCAAGTAGCTGGGACCACAGGCGCCCGCCACAACGCCTGGCTATTTTTTGGTTGCAGCCGTCATTGTTGTTTGGCGGGTCCGGGCTGGGGATTCGAACCTGCCACCTTAGGTGTACGTGGCTGGCGCCTTAGCCGGTTGAGCTATAGGCGCCGGGCCAACACTCTTAAAATAAACACTGCACTTCTCTCCCTGGCCTGCCTGGCCTGCCCTCTCTTCTGGTCTCATTCAATCAACCTTCTTCCCTCTGCATTCTGCTCATCAAAAACAGCATGATGCTTCTCACCACAGGCAACTTTCCACTTTCAATGCCTCTCTGAATCCCACCAACTCAAAAACACTCACCTAGCCCGGGCGCTGTGTGGCTTTTGCTTGTAATGCCAGCACTTGGGAGGCTGAGGCTGGTGGACTGCCTCAGTGCACAGGTTCAAGACCAGCCTGAGCCAGAGCGAGACCCCATCTCTAAAAAATAGCCGGGCATTGTGGCAAGCTGTCCCAGCTGCTTGGGATGCTGAGGCAAGAGAATCACTTAAACCCAAGAGTTTGAGGTTGCTGTGAGCTAAGACGCCACAGCACTCTACGAAGAAGAGTGACCAAGTGCGACTCTGTCTTAAAAAAACCCACTCTACCTGACCACTCCAGCCAAGAGACAAGACCTTCCAACTTCCCAACCCTTAAAATCTTCCAAAGTCATATTTACATGCATACATATTATGATAGCAGATCTCATCTATTTTGTTCACTACAATCTCCACAGCGCTTAGAACACTAAGCAGAACCAGTGATAATAACCTGAGGCAGCTATGGCAGTGGTGAGTTCCATTTTATCACTGGAGACAGTAATAGTAGGGAGTGAAATTAGACTCACCACATCAAACAGCTAAAAGAGTCCCTAGAAATGAGGACTATTTCCCAAATAACACCTCTTAAAACCTGCAGCCAGACTCTAGCAACTCCTCTTCTGTCGATGTACAGAACAATTGATGGCTTTAATCACATGAAATGTTATTTGACTTAACCAATTACTTGACTTAAAAATTAGCCTTGGAATGATTCATCAGATGTGAGCAGAAATGCCTCCCCAAAGCCTTGGAGTCTACAGACAGGGACAAACCACATGTCAAATAAGGTCCTGCCTTCAAAGCACAAATACTTAGGAAAGACCAGACAATTAAAGCCTTATCCTCGGGCTGGTAACTTCCCTCAACGCTTCACCTACCACTTACTAACCTAAAAGTCAGTCCTAGGGAACCCTGAGGCTGGGTAAGGAGGGAGGGAGTCCTTCAGAACACGCTCCCTTAGGCCCCCACGACCATCGTGTCCAATAAATGAATTACGGGTTCCAGGCCTAATTAAAGGAAAGGAAGTCGTCCCAAAAACAACTGTGGGAGAAAAGGGAGCGAGAAGAAAAGAGAGAGGACGCTTCAATTGAGAAGTAGAAACACTGCGCTAAGGCGCAGCCGCGAGACCCCCCAGCCCCACACCCCTGGATGCCCGGGCCCAGTCGCCACTGCACCCTCGGCCTCCGGGAGATGCCGCACCTGCTGCAGGGAGGCACAGCCCTGACACCGCGAGAGGTCTGCAGCCGTCGCGGGCGCCGCTGAGTGTGTCTCCCCCGGCATCATGGTGCCGCCGCCGGGCCCGGTGGGCACGCACGCCTCAAGGACCCGCAGCTTCGGCCCTGTCCTCTCTCTGCTGATACCGCCAACGCCGCCGCCTGCCAGGCCGCTTCCCGCCGGGTCCGGGCGGGTCCATCCGTGCACAGAGGTCGCCGTGAGGTTGGCAAAAGGCTCTGCAAGCCAGAGCCGCCTCAAGCACTAAAAAGAAGGCTACCCGGCGCGGCCCCCCAGCGCGACGCGGCTCAGCCAGGCCCCCGCCCCGCCCTGCCTGGCCCCGCCCCTCGCCGCGGTGCGGGGCTGCCTACAGCGCTGCCTGAAGAAAATAGAGAGTGGAGCTGCGGGAGAGGCGGTGTCCGCGAAGGAAAAGCCAAGTGGCATAAAGTCAACGGAAGTTCAGTCCTCCCACTGTTAATATTTAATCTACTACTGTCAGCTTGCTGCATGACGGGCTTTCCATAACCACCTGAACGCGTCAGCTAGGGGGAGGTGACCCGCTGATGACGTCACTCTACGCGTCTACTGGAGTAAAAGGACCCGTGTCCTGGATGAGAAAGTGTGCGATTTATAATCGGAGGGAGTGAAGCGGTCCTGAACCCCGCCCCGGGCCCAGGAGCGGGAGGAGGGAGATCCGCAGTTACACCGCGCGCCAGGCGGAGGTCGAGCCTTGTCTCAGGCGGCGTCCTGTGGGTCTCAGTGCCTGATAGCGGCCTTGCTGCTACCGGTCTCTGCGCTTCTGCTTTGGCCCACTTGTTAGCCCGAACGGTGGTTTCCTAGGTCCAGCTGGGGACGCCGCCACCCACTCGGTCATTATCCGGCCACTATCAAATCCTGTTTTGATACCTCTTGGGAGTGAGGGAAAAGGGGGAAAAAGAAAAAGAGTCTCACCCTGACCCCAGTTACTGGGTAAATTCAGTCCCTAATCTGTGGCGTTAACCATAGTTTTTCCCATCTCCAGCCACTACCTTATCCACCATCACCAGGATAATCTTTTGCATAGTCACAGCCGGTTGCCATCAATACCTTGCTCGACATCTGGTGGCTTCCCATCGTCTGGTTCATAAAATCCAAAATTTCTTAGCATTCAGCGTAAGCATTGCATGTGTTAAGTAAACGGTCAGGCCTTCCCAGCCTCTTCAACTGAAAACTCTTCCCAAAGAGCACTTTGCATTTTTCCCTGGGGTTTCTTCTCCGGGTTTCACACGCTTAGCCTTGCCTACACACTCTTCCACTTGTGCAGTGGAGGAATCAGTAGCCACCACAGCTAGATTTCCTACCACTGACACCCAAGCACATCAAGCCTGTACCTGAGGACAGGCCCAGGGTAGGGTACAGCCATATAGAATTCTGGGCTCAGAGAAAAGTGGGCAGAGAACAGGAGTACGGTTTAAAGAGAAAAGTACAATGAACAGATATGCAGAGGGCAGCTATAAGCTTTGAAAGACAGACCATGTGACCCTTTAAAGAGAAAGGCAGCTGACCTGTATGGATCTTGATGACTTCCCAGACAAATTCAACCTCATAGGGACCTCCCTTTTGTCTGAAGTTGTTTAAATGAATTTTTCTTTTAACCAAAATTTCTTAGTGGAGGAATCACCAGCTTTCTCTCCTTCTATCGAAGGTGTCCAACCTATTTTCTTCTCTGCCACACATTGGAAAAAGAAGAGTTATCTTGGGTCAAACATTAAATACACAAACGCTAATGAAAGCTGATGAGCAAAAAAAAAAGATCTGTGCATAATTTTTACAACATCCAACACCATAGATAAGCAAAAAGGCCTCAATTTGCACATGGCCCAGAGGCCACAGGGTTAGACACCCCTACAAGTCTACATCAACCATAGCTACAAAAAACAAAACATTATTGGGGAATGTGGCATTGTCACTGCTGGCTCCTCCCCATCCGTCCTGGTCACTGTTTTCACCTCACATGGAACACCATTCTTTTCCACTCCACATCCCTAAGTAACACATACCTTTTTTTCCTGTCCCTTACTACTGAGTAATTTTTAATAACACCACTTTAGATTTGGTTAATAGTGATTTTTATGTCTTAGAGCTGAGTCTTCCTTTTAAGCACTGCAAAGAGCTGTGCTACATGCTAAGTGAACATCAGCATGATCAAATTTGCTGCAACTGATTGAAGGTAGGAGAGCATAAGTATTTCCCCTCAAAAATGAAAGGGCACTTTTTTCCCTCTCTTTTTCAAAGCCAGCTCTGACAACATTAAAAGTAAGTCTTGTTTGTATAATGCAGGGATGGGCAGATTTTCTGTAAAGTGCCATGTGGTAAGTACCATAGGCTTTACAGGCACAAGTCTCTGCCACTTATTTGTCACTTTTTGTTTTTTAAAGAACCTTTTAAAAATGTAAAAATTATTCTTAGTGAATAATTTAATTCCACATTTTCCTCTTTCTCACATCATAGGACATGCCTGTTTTGTCACTGTGATGGCAACATAATGTCTAGACTGCAGAGTGTGATGAGCAGTGGGTTTGGAACTACATGTCTATCTGTAAACTCTCAAGCAAGTGTCCTGTCTGCGCTGGTGTTTTCTATAACTATAGTTGAAGTAAAAAGTTACAAGGACAGTCCCAATCCATTGAATTCACTACTCTGAGAGTATTAATAATTTATTTGATGTTATCTATTTTGGAAAATAGATAACTATATCTTCAGCCTACTTATAGAAAGAAAAGAGTATTTTAAGAAATGTTTTTCTTTTCAGACTTCCAAGAAAAGCTGTCTTTCTACTTGAGCTCCCCGTGACTGGGAGGAGTGTCTTCCCCTCTCTGGTCTTGGGATTCCCTGCACCTGTGAAGTCTAGTGAGCTCTTGAGAGGATCCCACCAAAAAGGTCTTAGTTCTTGTCCAGCTCCCTCATGACCTTCCAGATGTTTGGTAAGATCTTAAAGCTAAAGCTTTGGAACATAACATACTTGAGAGGTAGCTGATGATCTAATTTGTTAACATATGCTTCCACCAAAAGAGCTAATAGCTTTGGTCTATTATATAAACCAAAAATAGGGAGAACTCAAAATAGAAAGCTGTTTGTTCTTTGGAAGTTCTTGCATGTCCTTCACTTGATGCATTTACCCATAAGAAAAATGAACTATGTATTATTCTTTGTTTTAGAATTCAAAGAGATGGGCAGTGTCTGTGGCTCAGTGAGTAGGGCGCCAGCCCCACAGATCAAGGGTGGTGAGTTAGAACCCAGCCCCAGACAAACTGCAACAACAAGAACAACAAAAGAGAACAAAGAGATGTTTCACTAAGTAGTTTGTGACTCTTAACAATCTGTAATTTAGTGATGTTATTAAGTAACAGTGTATTCGTTTGCAGGCCTGTAATGTAATGCTACCATGTGCCCACAAGATGTCTGTCTTTGCCTGTCTATTTTATATATAGGTGGAATTTCCAGCTGAATTTGGGACATATCACACTCTTCTTAGGGGAAGGAAAAGCCCATCGTCTAGAGCAGGCTATGATCAGTGCATCTTGCAGGAACCACCTTGCCTTCTGCCGTCCACGTCCACTGTGCTTGCTTCAGTTTTCTGCAATAGTCTACACTGTGGGGGTGGTGTTTAGACTTGTCTCTTACGGGTCAGCAATTTGCTTGCAGACTCAGATTTTCCCCTCAAAGTGATGTGAAGCCAGAGGGTAAATATTGCTTCTCCCCAGGCATTGATTTTACTTAGAAACTATATTAAAAAACCACATGTGTTAGACTAGAATGTAAAGCTGACAATGATTGTTAAAGCAGAATTTTAAAAGACTGTTGCATTGAAGTAGTCCTCTGCAAGGGAAGATGTCTGGCACCTGTAACAGCTTGTCAGTGAGACGCTTCCTGTGGCATCCAGGATTGAAGGACAAAGGAGGCAGGTGCTTACAGGCAACACCTGCAGAGGTGGAAGAGGGTGGAGGAAGGGATTTTTTTTTTTCAGGAAAGCTGGGAAACCCGTGTCCCACCTACCCCAAGGAGAAGTAGGGGAGGGGGGAGTGTTTTCCCTTCACCTAAGGCCAGCAAGGGGGCCACAAAGTGAAGCACTCAGAGATGGACACATGCCCAGGGGTGGCTTCCAGGGAACCACAGGAGAGCATTGGGAGGAGTCAGAGGCTGAGCCACACTCCCACCAGCTCTGGGACAAAGAGGCTGGGCTGGGCATGTACACAAGGTGTGTGCTGGGACCCAGCTCTCACCCTTCACAGAGCACTGCTCCTTCCACCAATTTGCAGGTTTGGGCTTGTCACGTAGGTGGCACCCCCTGGCCATCCCAGAAACTAAGTCTGACCAGTCCCCTAGTCCAGTCTCCCTGGGCAGTCACCTTGCTCTGCTCTGCGTGTCTAATGTTTTATTTTCTTTTATGGCATTCTCAGTCCTCTGTTGGTTCTCACCCCTCTCCACAGCTAAGCAGCCTTGAGTCCTGTGGGTGGGTGCTCTCCATGTCCTCCCAGCAATGGTGAGGCCATCCCAGGTGGTGGCTCCCTGGGTCACTCAAGGGGCGTCTGCGTCCAGCACACTCCTGCACACACCCTGCTCTGCCACTTGTTGGGGCCCAAAGCTCAGGCCACCTCCCCACCACCACCAGCACATGTGCAGCCCTGCCACTCCTCCTCGTGTGTGCCATCCTTTCCTACCCCCATGCCCAATGTCTATCCCATACACTAAAACTAACAGATGGTCAGATTAGAATCCTCTTTGTGCCAACAGAGAGTAAGATCTCACCCTGGAATAGCTATGCATCGCTGTTCTCATCCCCACTCCTGGTGCCTGGCAGGCCTCTCCCTCCCCAGGGTCTCTACAGAATTCATCCTTCATGCAGATGTCTTCTCTTCTCCCCAAGATCTGGTGGCCTCTCTCATGTCATTCCTATCTCTGCCCCAGTGTTACCAGTGCTGACCAGCCCAGAGGCCTAGGCCTCCCTTCCAAGCCCTTCTCATCGGCTTCCATCCTCTGCCAGCTTCCTGTCCCCTTACCCCCATCACCACCTAGCATCCCTGAGTCCGACAGCCCCCAGGATGGGGGGAGCTTTCTATACAGCATGCCCTTGGCACACAGATCATGCCTCACATGTGGCGTCACTCGGGACATAGTTGGTGAGAGAACCATGCGCTGAGCAAATGAATAAACGAATGAAAGTAGAACCCGGGGAGATTTAAAGCTAAGTGTCCAGCCATCGTGGT